GACATCAAAAAATTCAAGCGCGGACTTGGCGCCTTGGACCCAGGAGGCCCAGTCCTGCGGGCGGGCTATGTCGAAGGGCGGAAGCAGCCCTAGCCCTGGAGCGGTAGCCATCGTGCGCGTCGGAGGGGTTGCGGGAGAAGCGGTCTCGCTCATCGGATCGGCTGCTTCGCGTTCTCCTGGTTCCCGTTCTGTGACATCAAAAAATTCAAGCGCGGACTTGGCGCCTTGGACCCAGGAGGCCCAGTCCTGCGGGCGGGCTATGTCGAAGGGCGGAAGCAGCCCTAGCCCTGGAGCGGTAGCCATCGTGCGCGTCGGAGGGGTTGCGGGAGAAGCGGTCTCGCTCATCGGATCGGCTGCTTCGCGTTCTCCTGGTTCCTCGCGATGGCCCGGCTCAGATGCGGCAGTATCTCATCCTCGTCGCCACTATTGTGTAGTGGGTTTCCGCATGGAGAGACGACAGACGACGACGTAGTGCATAGCACGCTTTATTGGTACACAACAAGGACAAGGACAAACGGCCGGCAGGCCAACTATATACACCCCTGGGGACACACCCCTGGTCACCATTGGTGGGTTTGAATTTCCCGCCATGGTTCCCATTGGCTCCCCAGTGGGGGGACTAGGATCCTAGTCCCCATTGTTATCCCAGAGTCAAGCTCTGGCAATTCTGGCTGACCGCTGCCCCCCCTGTGGCGGTCTGCATACACAACAGTGGCACTTTGGGTTTTCTAAGCACCTGATGCCCCAGCAAGATGTGGTGGTGGAGATCCAGGACTTGAGTGGAGAGAGTACGGGAGAGTCTGAAGGGAAGGGGAAAGTGGCAATCAGCAGCACTCAAGGGGGAGAAAGGAAGTGGAGTAGGAGTAACAAAGTGAAACTGAAGGTGTGAAGGGAGAGGAAGAGGTTGTACAGGCAAGCAGAAGCAAGAAGAAAAAGGGAGAACAAGAAAGCAGAGACTGCATGGAGATAGGACTGGAATTTCCTTTCCCTGTGAGTCCTCATGTGTCCCCACTTTTGTGTATGTGTGTAGTACATATGTTGTGAGTGTTAAACAAAGAAATCACCTTTGTTGAGAAACTTACTGGCTGAATTACTGCGATTCCTCTGACATTTGGCTTTTGTCTGTAGAATGGAACCATTCTGCTTGTCCAGGTTTGTAGGCTGTTCTGTGCAAGAACAAATTGAGGGTTCCTGGGAAGGAAGAAAGAGATTTTGGGCAGCTCCCATTAGAGTTTCAAGATACCTTGTAAGCGTTCTCTGTGCTTTTACGTACACACTGGGGCCCTCTAGTGGCTTGGCATGGAACATAAATAACACCCTCAAAATGAAATGAAAGGGATGTGTGTCCTCTCCTGTCACTATATCCATCAAAGAGATTATTAACGCCTTTGCTCTGAGAATTGAGCAGCAACATTGTATTTCAAGAAGGGCTGATGAGGTTTGCTAATTTTTTTACTCAAAGCACTCATAGTTATCAGGAATAGGTGCCAAAAGGGCCATCTATGAGAGAACAGACAGCAGCCAAACATTCCTGTGCTTAAAAAGAGTGAGAGTCCAGAAGCACCTTAAAGACTAACAAAAGTTATTCAGAACATAACAGTGACTCACAAAAGCCTACCACAATTTTTTTTGTTACTCTTTAAGGTGCTCCTCTTTCCTGCTGCTACAGACAGACTAACATGGCTACCCATCTTGATCTATTCCTGCCCTAGGCTGTGATCCACACTGTGTAAGAGCCTCCCTCCCTCCCTCCCTCCCTCCCTCCCGGTCCACGGGGAGGGCAGGAAGCAGCCAGGCATTCTTCAAGTGTGGCTGCGAGCCAGCTTAAACTGTGAAGCCCCTTCCCAAGAAACATGTGTCTTCTAATCCCCAGTGGGTCACTCAGGGAAGCAGTGCTTTGGTAAACAGCAGGTAAATAAATACACTATCATTCTGCAACAAGAAATGAGATCTAGCAGCCTGAACTCTCATTTTGACTGGTGCAGTTTGGAGATCTGTTGTCAGGAAGACTGGCTAACAAATGGCAGCTTTTCTGCAGCCTGTAGCACATTGGATGACTGAATCCACTGTAATTGTTCATCTCTCTCTCCCCTATTAAATGCTTGGAAAAGATGACAGTAATTTAGAATGGCAATCCCCTCTTTTCCTTAGCAGGCCTTTTTCTAGAAGGTTTTCTCTTGATAGCTATGCCCAACTGCCTCTCCCACAGTTGAAATTCAACAGGTAAAGCATTTTCCAGCATGGAGGTGCAGTGTTCAGAAAAGCTGCACCTCTCGAATCCCTGCCTGTTGTGCCATTAGTAACGGGGGAGGGACCTTGCCAGGACCAAAGGTTCAGCATGCATGTTGTCACAGGACAGGAGGATCTATGTCAGGCTCTTACCTTGTTAGCTACAACCAAATTTACCAAGCCTTTTGCAGACTGAATGAGTGATTCAGCCTCTCTGCTGGAGAGTTCTTTCAGAGATTGCCCATTCACGGTTAGAAGTTCATCACCAAGGCTGAGACGGCCATCTCTGTAACAAAGAGATAAATGAAGAGAAGTGCAACATTTGAAGTCTGAATCAGCCACAAGAAATGGTGTCATTGGCACAGGATCCATTTCCTCACAGCCTCTTCCCACCACACTGTGATAATGTCTGGATTCCAGAATGGTCTGAGCAAGTATTGGTGTATCAGACTAGGATGCAGGAAACCTGGCTTCAGATCCCACTGCAACTCACTGGCCTTGGGTCAGTCGGTTTCTCTGCCTAACCCACCTGTTGTTGTGCAGCTTAACATGGAGAAGGACAGGACTGTATGCTGCCCTGAACCCCTTGAAGCATTATTATTTTAATGTCATTGTTTGTGCCGAGCCTTGGGTAGCAGAGCAACATTGGAATGTAAATAACCCAAAGGGTTCCCATTCACGATTTTTTAAAAAGCAAGTGTACCTGTAGGCAGCTCCTCCATTGACCACTTGGCTGACTGTGAATTCTTTTCCGAAAACAGAGCAACTGGGAGTCCTGGAGACTTGGATCCCCAGCCCATCATTCCCAGTCGCTATGCACAGCTTCCAGATGCAGCTGTCCTGGTTTGGAAGACAAGAAAGTGTATCTGAGGTGAGGAGCGATGCTTCCAGAATAGTTCAGGATGGAAGTTGGAGAGCATCAAAGCAGGAAGTGCAAACAGTGATTTTCTGGTCCAGTGTGAGATACTTACAGGGCCCTTCTAAGTTTGTTGGTTGTTAGTGGGTTCAGAAGGGTGTAATTCTGTTTAGGATGACCCTGTACCAGGCCTGCAAGATGGGAGGCAGTGGGCATCACTCAGTCAGTGATACTTGCTAGGAGAATGAGGGGTGTTTAAAAGTACACTAGAGGGTTTTCATCTCAGAAATGCTGGAGATCATGGTGGTGTTGATTTCTGTTGTTACATTTGTGCTTTGTAATCTGCTTGGGGTCTATGGTATTTGGAGAAAGGCTGAATAGAAATTGAATAAATATATAAATGATATAGCTGGCAGTCAGTTTCCAAGACCTGAGCAAGGCTGTTAACAATAGGATGTTTTGGAGAACATTAATTCAGAGGGTCGCCGTAAGTTGGAAGTGACTTGACAGTGACTTGACACACACACACATAACTGGCAAAGTGTATAATTTCATTCTATTCTGTATAAGTATGATGTACAGGCCAAATCAGATTCTCTTCCTTTAAAGATTTCTGTTTGCCTTTTCTCTTGAAGAAGTAAACACCTTGTTCCAGATGTTGTTTGAAATACGCATAAGCATGACAGTGACTGAGAAGCATTTGTTTTTCCTTGAGGGGACTGCCACAGTAGACTTTTTAGAAAGGTGACTTTGTACTCCTTTCAGCAGGCCATATGAGGAGTCTCTGGTTTCTTTGAGTCATGAACAGTGGGTGCGAAGGTTAGGCCTGAGATGGGGTTGCCAGCTCTGGCCTTGTAAATGCCTAGAGATTTCGGGGTGGTGCCTGTTGATGGGGAGAATTTTGGGGAGGGATTTCACATAGAACCTAAGGTATACCACAGTGTCCACCCTCCAAAGCAGCCATTTTCTCCAGGGGAACTGTTCTGTGTAGTCTGGAGTTCAGTTGCCTTTCTGGGAGGATAGCTCATGGAGGCCGGCTACCCTGTATGAGTTTCAGCTCTTGGCTCAACCACAGATGGTGGGAAAGTGGCCTTTGAGGAATGGCTTGCAGAAGGTCTGTTTTGTGACCCACTTGAATCGGTAGTTGTGTAATGGAATGTGAAGGGTGATTCCAAATGTGATGCCTTGGCTCTTCAGTCCCCAAAATCCATTTTGATTTTGTCTCTTTTTGCTTTCCTGGCATCAAAATAGCTGCGTGACAGGTTGTCTGTGCATCATTTAGGCAGCATTATAAGTTGTGCTTTTTTAGATATACATGTGCATACATCAGGGGTCTGCTGGTAGCAGGAGCTCCTTTGCATATTAGGCCACACACCCCTAGTGTAGCCAATCCTCCAAGAGCTTACAGTAGCCCCAGTAAGAAGAGCTCTGTAAGCTCTTGGAGGATTGGCTACACTAGGGGTGTGTGGCCTAATATGCAAAGGAGATCCTGCTACCAGTAGAGCCCTGCGTGACATTACATGTATAAGAACTGTCTCTGGTGATTCCCATTTGCGTGTTTGTGTTTCTGCTGCTTCTTTTGTCACTGTTGGATATGTTTTTTTGATATTCATAAGCCACCTTGAAAGCTCCCATTGTGACCGACAGGTGGCATGTATCTCTGGGACTCACCACACCCATATCAACCTGTCTGACTTCTCGGTTCACCTCTGCGTGAAATACGAACTCTCATAAACTTTTTGCCCTAAGGGGGCATCCTTACATTTAAGATACATGCAGGGCTGATGTCCAGTCCCTTCAATCCTTCTTTCCAAACTAACAGTCTAAACTAGGGGTGTCAAACATGCAGCCCGGCGGCCAGGTTAGGCCCTCAGAGGGCCCCAATCAGGCCTGCAAGTCCCTGGCTGTTTCCTACTGCTTCTGCTGCTGCCATGTTACAGCTTGCTTTATCAGGAGAGATAGATACGGTAGGCAAGGCTCTCCTGTGCCATTGAGAGAGTCTGGTAAAGAACTAGCTGAGGCGCCTCCCCCTCCTCCTCCCAGGAGGAGGGTGGGAACAGCCAGAGCTTGCTTCCTGGCCAAGCTGCAGGAGAAAAGGGAAGGAAGCCTTTCTTTCCTTCCACTGTCTGAGGCTCTCCCCTGAAAGGAGAGAGGGAATGAGGGAGAGTTTGCTTTGCTGGGCTGCCTCAATCGCACAGGAGAAATACCAAGCACCTTTAAGACCAACAAAGTTTTGTTCAAGGTATGAGCTTTTGTGTGCCTTGCTACAGTGTGTGTGTTGGGCTTTTTATGCCAGGGCTCTCCTCGGTGCAACTGGGTTCCCTCCCCCTTTTCACTGTTTTCATGCCCTCATGATCCAGTCTTTCTCAGTAAGAAAGCAATGTGAACTATTTTAGAGGAGGAATAAAAACAAGCCAGTGAGGTGGATTAGACTGAAAGTATGTGTCCAGACCGAGTTCACCCCTTTTGTAGGAAGTTGTAGTTATTTCTCTTGGGAAGGGTATAGTTTTGTAGACAAACACATGGCCCTCAGTCTGTGTTAGGGTGTTGTCACACAGCAAGCTGATCACGATTTGTTCCCACTGTAGATTTGATCGGGAATATTTTTTTTTCAGGTTGGGATGACCACACATATCCCTCCCTGAGCCGCTTGCATTGCGCAACGAGGCTCCAGGCACTGTTCAGATAGCCACGCTGCCACTTGGGCAGCACGGCTTGTCTTTTTAAAAAATTGGCTTTGCACATGGGCAAAGACACATGGCCGATTCACCGCTCCCACTGGGACTCGCCGTACTCCCTTGTTCTTGCAGGTTCCCCCCTCCCCCGAACAGCAAACAAAATTAACCAGCAACACACAACTGAGCACTGGAGTCTATATGTGTGCTTGAACATTTATACATTGAATTTATTCAGCACAGGATTGCTCATGTGCACAATGATGGAAGCTTGTAAAAAAAAATCGCGAGAAGGACGTTCAGATGACCTAATTGCAATCATTGCAAGAAATGGCCGTCCATATCTGCGAAATCACAGATTCAAAGCACAAATATCCAGAAAGTACTTGATTTTCCGGGTGTAGGAAAACTCACTAGGGAACTGGGAGGATTGCGTGAGTGATTTTAAATGTGAGAGGGAACAGAGGTGAAATCCGATCAAAATGACCAACCAAAACCTTAGAATGCCTTCTCATGTTCTTGACCAGCACATGAAGCAATTTATGTACAAAAGGTCGCAGTGCCTAGCCATTTTATGTTTTCCCCTGGGTCCTAGGCTAAAACACTGAGCATGAGATTTTTGTGATAAATGTCAATAAATCAAAAGTAGGTTTGCAGCTTACAGATACAGCACAGACATTTTGATGCAATAATTCAGAGCAGAGATGTCAGTTATCAGAAACTGTTAAATAGACAAAATATTGCAAGAGCATGTTTTATTTAAAGTTTAAAAAATCTTTGTGTTTGTCTGTGTCCTTTATAAAGTTTAAATCTCCGTTACCTGGCATTACATTTTATGACATACATGGCCCCGCCCAACAATTTATGTCGGATTCGGCCCTCATAACAAATGAGTTTGATACCCCTAGTCTAAACCCTTTATTGGCTTGCAAGAGAAACAGCATTGAGATCCCAGCCTAAGCCCTGTTGCGTGTGTTCGATTAACAGCTTTGGACTGCAGCAATTCTCTTTTGCTGTGTTGCTCAGTGAAGATGAGACAGCCACACAGCAGAGGTGAGATACCCTTGGCAAATGACCACTACCTCCTGGGAACACTGGCCAGGATTTGATCCCTGAATCTACAAGTGGGAGGCGTCCCGCATTCAGCTTGAGCAATCTGATATGAGACCTGGGAGTGCTGAATGGCTGACGAGGCACTTACCTTGACAAAGAATTTTCTTTTCATGTTTTTGGCGCTGTCACCAGGGGCAGCTCTCAGCTGCATCACACCAGTGATCATAAGTGGATCGGAAGGGTCTTGGTCACTCGACGAGGTACACACTAATTGGAGCCGAGGGCAGGAACCGGTTTCCTCATGATCCCAAGTAGCCTGAGTCTCAAAAGGGTTGGGGCACTTCTCATCTGGGCTCAATCCATCGTCACTGTTCTTGGTGTTGCAAAGGATAAGGGAGCGTGAGATGGAGCGCAGCGTTTTGGACTTGCGGCTCTTGGCGCTGTTCTGTCGCTCCATCGCAAATGACCCGGTGCTCTCCTAGGCTTGTTAATGCTCCTTGGCTACTTTGATGCCGTACCCCATTTTACTGCAGATCAACTGCCTGCTGGGAAAAGATGTTTAAAGAGAACAGGATTTTAAATCTGTGGTATCTTTTCATCCCCCTGCTTGTCAAACCCAAAACACAGCGGCAAATTTGTGATCTAGACAGAGACCTTCAGTTGAGGCGCAAGCAATGTAGTGCTTCATGACTGGCTGATTCTGTTTGTTTGTGGGTGGGTTTTTTAAAAAAAACACTGGTCCATGATTCTCCTTTACTTTTTCACTTTACATTCTTCCTCCCTCTGTCTCCAGGCATTATGGAATACTTTCAAACAAACATCTTGTTCTGGCCTTCTCCAGCTTCAGCAATCCTGGTACTTTTTTGGGTGCATATCTAAAAATATCCACAGAACTAGGACTGACTGTGAGTCAAGCCCTGATAAGCACACAGGAGATAATGAACCCAGGTTTCTAGCTGGGCAATGTGTGAAAAGGCCCCTCAGTACTTTGCAATTAATTCAAAGTGAAGAATGAGCTGGCAGTGCTGAAAAGAAGGCGTGACATATATGTTTGTATTAAGTTATGGAAAAAAAATGTGGATTCTTAAAAAGGGCATTCTGAGTTCACATATGACAAAGAGATACTGGGAGATACATGGTGTAGTGGTTAGAGTATCAAACTAGGATCTGGGAGACCCAGGCTCAAATCCCCATTTTGCCGTGGAAGCTTGCTGGGGTATCTTTGGGCCAGGCACACACTCTCAGCCTAAACTACCTCACAGGGTTGTTGCGAGGATAAAATTAAGGAGTACAGGATTCTGTTAGTTGCTTTGAGTCCCCATTGGGGAGAAACATGGGATATAAATAGCTAAACAAATAAATCTGCCATACAGAATGGGAAAGGTTGGAGAAGATTATGTTAATTCCATGATTTTTTAAAAAAATGTTTTGAGGTGGTGAAGAAATGCATTTTTTCTTTGGAGGTTTGAAATGAGCAAAACCCCCCCCCCCCCGGGCAGAGAATGGGCAGGAAGGGGGGGAGACCGTTCCATTGCTTTCCAGACTTACCTCAGCCCACCATCAGTCAAATGCTAATGGTTCTAGCTAGAGACAATTGGATGGGCCAGCCCCCCCCCCCAGCAGTGATCAAAGACTTGGAGAAATTAAGGCTAGAAGGGCTTCAGGAAGAAATTTTTGGAGACCTCAGTGGGAGGGTAAAGGGAGAAGATAGAACTCCTGAAAGCAAGGAGGAAGCTCTTTTTTTGGGCTGGGTCCATCCAGGCAGACAGCACTCTTAGCTGAGGTCTGGAGGAGATGGCCATTGACCATGTCTTCAGCCTAGACAGCTGAAGAACACTTCAAGGTAATGTGAACTTCCTAAAGCTAAGGAGCCTATCCTATATGTACAGGGCATGTATAGAGAGAGGGACAGAGGGTTTGTGTTTTACCCATTTCTTTTGATTCCCTTGCTCAGTGTGGTGCTGTGCTAAAAGTATGCTGCTAAACATTTTCTTTTTAATAAATACTTTTGATGCTGGTAGTGGTTCTTTGTACCACATAGACCTCCACTGTCTTGGACACACTATTTTAAAAGGGAGTGCTAGGGGGAAGGCAGGCAATTGGCAAGTGGCTACTCCTCCAGGTGTGCACAAGGCAGTAATGGTCATTGTGGTGACCAGGCACTGGGCAGCGGGAGACACTGAGGCAAGGACTCAAATCTTGGAAGGGAAGCTGGGAGGCCTGACCGTCCCAGTGGGCAATTCCTACAAAGGTCAGGTGGTGGTGGTGGGTTACCAGAGAGAGAGAAAAGCCTCTCCAGGTGTTGGGAAAACCTTGGAGAGCAGGGTGGAACAGGGCCTGGCCCTGCAGGTTATTGTGCAAGTGGCCTAGGCTGGGTGTGTGTGTCTGTTTAACCCCTTTCTTCTATAGCCATTTGTTGTCTCAAAATCTCCACACACACCCACCACATATAAATAGCTTTTATTTTTTAAGAGAGAGAAAAGATCCTCTGTAATGAGATGCCTCTAGGCTATGATGTCCTTTCACATGCTTAAGATGGGTAGCCATGTTAGTCTATCTGTAGCAGCAGAAAAGAGCAAGAGTCCAGACTAACAAAGACTAACTAACAAAATATGTGGCAGGGGAGGAGCTTTTGTGGGTCACTGCTTGACGTGATTAAAGAGCACAGAATGAGTTGCACCAGAAAGCTTTCTGATCAACCCCCCCCCCCCCGAAAAGTGGGATGTGCCGTTTCTTAGGAGGAGGTACCCAAGTTGACACTTACTGTCACATTACCGCCAATGAAAATGCTTGGTCACAGGATGTGGGAATGATAAGAAATTCTGTGCTTAACTCATCCCCCTTGGGTTCCAGTCCTGGTTATCTCTGCCTGATCTAACTACTGCCAGTTGGCATGGGGAAAGATCCCATTGTGGAACTATATTTAGCTTGTACAGACCCTGGATTGACTGTGGCTCTCTGCTGAAAGCACATGAGGTGGTAAGCCCAGATTTGTTGGTGCTGTGTGGTGTAGCAAAAACAGCCCCTGAGGTGGCAAGCTTGAAAGAGAGCATAAGAGTGTGTCCCTCTGTTCCATGATGCAGAGAGAATGTCTGTTTTTGCTTGGGTTTTTTTAAAGTGATTGCTGTTCTAAAAAGAAAAAAAAAAAAATGATTGAGGTCCTGAGCCTGGCATGTTGGATTTGTAAGCAGTTTTTAAAAAGTAGCTCTTGGCCATGAGCAAAAATGCATGACTGGAATGAAACGTATGCATCTGTGCCGTACGTTCCCTTCAGTAGAAAACAGAGTCTTAACTGTAATCATGGCCTTATCCTTATGAAAAGAGACAGCCAATCATTCCTCTCAGTCAATGCTTTCCAAGCTTCCAGTAGTGAAAGCAAATCTCTTTCTGAATTAAAACTGGAGGCACTCTTTACGCAACACTCAGGTTGCTTTTAGTAGTTGTAAACATTAAGCATTACTGGCCTTCAGAGGAGCCCCACCCCTGTGCTCTCCAGGGATCATTGTTGCAAAGGCCTCATCATCAAGAAGGGTTAGGGAAGAGTGACTCAAGCAGAGATGCACTGGGCATCCTACTGTATGTACCTGTATTTGGAATGAACAAATATTCTAATCACACATGCCACACAAAACAGGGCAGAATTACCTGCCTCCCTGCAGAAACTGATTGGAAGACTGCAAAGAACTAGTTTGGTGTAGTGGTTAAGTGCGCGGACTCTAATCTGGGAGAACCAGGTTTGATTCCCCACTCCTCCACTTGCACCTGCTGATGTGACCTTGGGTCAGTCACAAGCTCTGGCACAGCTGTCCTTGAAAAAGAGCAGTTTGTGTCAGAGTTCTTTCAGCCTCACCCACCTCACAGGGTGTCTGTTGTGGGGAGGGGAAGGGAAAGGAGTTTGTAAGCCGCTCTGAGACTCCAAGTGAAGGGCGGGTGTATGTGTTTTATGTGTGTGTGTGTCTCTTTAAAAGTTTGGTGGCATGGCAGTGGTAAGTAGACTAGAGTGGTTGAGAGAAGCAAGTGTGGTATGATTGGTGGTTGACAGAGAGGGGGAGGGGTTTTGGAAGTGAGAATGAGTGGATATGTCTGTATGTCAGTCAGAGGTGACAGTTACACGGTTGACAGTTGAGGAGTTCAGTTAGTTCTGTGTGGGGAATGAGTTAGACAAGCAGTTAGTTCTGTGTATGAAGGAAGTTAGAAGCAGTCCTGTATGGTATAAGTTAGTTCAGTGAGAAACAGAAGGAAGGCTGAGAGAATAGGAAAAAGTAAATGAACGTTTAATTGAAGACAAGTTATAAGAAAGGCTGTATGTCATGATAAACTGGAGAGAAACAGTGAAAATATATGACCTTGAGTTAAAGTGTTACAAAGTTACCTGAAAGATCCCTGTCAGTAAGGGAGCATATTGTGTGTGATACACCAAGCAATGGTTCATTAATTACACATTATTAGATACCTTGTTCTACCCTTTTATTTATGAATTACTCCAATAAATCCTCTTTTATTCAAATATACCAGCTTTGAAAGAAATACTTTCTCAGGACCACATAGTTCCTCATAAGCCTTGTACTCGGTCTACCTAACCAGCAAGAGCAGAAGTAAAAGTATAAAGGTTTGGAAAGCCTTAAATTTCCTGGTGGCAGCCATATATACATAGTAGAATAAAATAAAGAACACTTTTAAAGGGAAACCAGTCCTCCCCTATAAGGGTATAAATCCAATCTCCTCTTCTCTTCTTCTTCAAAGCCAGAGCAGAGAGTTGCACAGAGTTGTACAACTCACACAGAGTTGCAACAAGCTGCCTCCTCCATGGGAGGGCTTACAGAAGCCTCCAGCTATACAGTTAGATTTATTCTTTGCAGAATGCTAGCAGTTCACAGCAGTATTTTTTGTTTGGCCCTCTAGGCAACTGGTTGGCTGCTGTATGAAACAAGAAGCTGGACCAGAAGGACCAGACTGCTGATCTGATCCAGCAGTGCTCTACTTAGGTTCTTAATGAACTGCATTAAAGATTCAGCTTCATATCTGAACCTTTACTGAAATCCAGGTAAATCACATCAACAGAGTTCCCACGATCCAGTAAGCTCTTCACATGATCAAAGAAGGAAACCAGGGCCCCTGCCACACGGCAGGGGAAAAGCCCCTTATAACTTTTTTGTTATATGAGGCTTTAAGGATTTTTTCTTTCATTTCCCGTTTGTAAAATTTTACATGGACTTCACGGGGCAACTTGTGTTTTCTAGCATAAGTAGAGTTTTTTCTATAAATCGTTTCAATTTCTGCTTCTATTTCTTTATTTATTGCTACTTCCAGTTGTTCAGCTAGGTTCTGTGCTAATTCTTCTTTTAAATGTTTTTCCATTGATTCTGGAACATTCTGACACCTTAGTACTAAGGCTGCCTTATCCATCTCTAATGTAATTAGTGAGTCCTCAATCTTATTTTCTTTCAGTTTTATTTCTTGTATCACATATTCCTTGTACCTTTTCTTTTGTTTTTTTCATTTTCAGCTGATATTTTTAGAATTTCTTGTTTATATTCTTGTATTT